TCTCAAAAGGGAGGCGATATTCCTAGGATATTCGCCCCCCCGGGGCGAATCTCCTAGGAATATCGCCCCCCTGGGGGGCGAATCTCCTAGGAATATCGCCCCCCTTTAGGAATTTTGCCCCCCCATATAAATTTGGAATTTTTGATCTAAAAACAAAACGATTGCAAGTTGAAAAGATCTATTGTGTGATTTATTTATTTATTACAAGGAGACAAAATTACATACACATTTTAGGCTTCTTAGCAGCTGGTGGTGTGCACAGTCTGCATAACCACTCATTTGAGGCACTTAGACTAGTGTCATATTCTACACATCTAAAGTGGAACCATCACAGAGATCGCATAAAATCATGTTGTTGTATTCTTCTGGCAGTTTACATTCACATAACATATTATAAAAACAATCGCTTGCAAATTTTATCAATACGAGTGTTAACAATAGCCGCCACAGTAATCACTTGCTAACAATAAACTATAGGATTAGTAAAAAATCCATGAAATGTGTTGGGAAGCGTATTGACTATTGTCCGTTGAATCGTCAACTTTCCGTGTCAGTGATGTAATCTTGATTCTTCACTTCCGCAAAGAAAATTGCATTATATATGTGGTGTGGTTTATTCAAATCATTTCATGATACTTTGATTTTATTAGTGCATGCCTTAAACATTTGAGAATGTAACTCTGCAAAACTAAAAGCTTTCTTGTCTTTTTTGAAACGTATATTATTGGATTATTGCCTATTGGCAAGTTCTACCCTTCGCTTCTGAGATTTACAAACTATATTGAAATAATGCATGTAAAAAATAGTGACAAACCATACATTTTCCGATAACGACAAAACGTGGATGCAAAACAATACCAATAATTACAATAACCACCACGGTGATTACTTTTTAACAATGAGTTTAAGGATTAACACTGAAAATGCAAAATATGCATGGTGTGCTGTGAAGCGTCATAAGTCCTATTGAGTATTCATCTACTGTAACTGTGTAAAGCCCTTTCGATACATGTAATTGTAAATTGGTATTCTTACATGCAGGGCTTGAAATAACGTTCCCAATGTTTCCGATCATGGTGATCGGCAGTCGCGACTTTCCCTGCTTTTTTCAGGTTGGAAACCGAAACCCTGCTTTTCTGACGATCATAAGCAATTCCTTGCCGATCATTGATCGGTGGTCGGTTGTTATTTCAAGCTCTGTCTTAACAATTTTAAATTGATACTGATTTCAAATTATTAAAGCCGTGTAATAATTATCCCATGCAACTGTTAGGAAGGGCGAAATTTTGAACGGAGGACGAAAATCCTAAAGAAAAGGTGAAGTTTCTAAAGGGGGGCGAATTTCCTAAAGGGGGCGAAATTCCTAAGATTTTCGCCCCCCTGGGGGGCGATATTCCTAGGAATTTCGCCCCCCCGGGGGGCGAAAATGTAGGGGGGGCGAAAATCCTGGGACACCGGTCG